AGAATAGAAATTTTAATAATGGTTGGATATGGTGATAAGTTAGGAGCACATCAGGAAGCATGTGAATTATTCAACCAAGAACACCCTGATAGACCGCCTATTGTAAGATCTACAGTAAGTAAATTAGTTACCAAATTTACCAAAACGGGATCCGTCCATAATTTGCCTCGGCAAGGTCGACTTCCAGTAAACAATGAAACCAGATTAAATGTGTTACACGAAGCTGAAGAAAATCCTCACCATTCTGCAAGGCAGCTAGCCCTAAATAATAATGTGGACCACTCTTGTGTCGTGAGGTTGCTCAAGAAAGAGAACTATCATCCTTACGGTCGTATTCACCATTGTTCAGTTAAATTTATAGTTAACTAACAGTTTGTTAATTGCTAACAGCTTGTTAGTGATATTTGTACTGACAGTTTGATATCGAAAAGTCACTAGGAAATTAGGTTGGCTACTATTTTTACCTAACTTCACTTTTATTTAATATTAAATAAAAATAAGGTTATATTTATAAACAGTGTTTTGTCGTGAAAGTTAAAAACCTTTAAAATGAAAAAAAAAAAGATCTGCAAATTACACAGAGAGGGAGAAAGAGCTTTTACTTTCTCTAGTAAAACAAAACTAAAAAATAATTGAAAATAAGAGGACGAATGCAGTTTTCAACAAAGAAAAATTGCAATGTTGGGAGAAGTTGGCTTGGGAATATAATGCCAATCAAACAACCGAATTTCGACGTGGATTGCAATTGAAAACTGCATATGAGCAATTAAAAAAACATGCGAAATAGCATAAGGCTCAGGAGAAGGTATACATTTAATTAATTTATTAAATATAGTGAGTAATTGAATATTATTTTAAGGTTGAAATGCAGAAAACTGGAGGAGGAATATTTGTTCCCAAACTCACAAATCTGGACAATAAAGTTCTAGAGCTGATAGAAGATAATTTTTTTCTATATGGACCGTGCGTCATGACTTTAACGCTAACTGGTGACAAAAATGTGAACTTTTTGGGGGGTATTTATTAATGTTTTATACGGCATTTATTGTTTAATAATTATTAATAAAATGAAGTCGAATTATTTTCGTAATATCAATATCGAAAAAACTTGTTGCATCCGTGGATGTACACATCACTTTAGAAACCTGGATTTCATTCGATAGTAAAGAAATTTTATAAATTTCCACAGAGCAAAATTATGCCTCACACCCAATGATATACATAATTACAAAGATTGCTTATCCATATGTAAATCAGACGACGAAAAGCGTATTTCACTGGGCAAAGTTTTCTTTTTATCTAGCTTGTATCAATTTTGAGCACTTAGTTGTAAAGAAATCATTTACAGAACCGGTTTAGAAATTAGAATCTTTAGTGTTTTCTTGTCATTAAGATTTTTACATATTTAAATGAACATTTTATATAAATATAATTTTACAGATAATGGTTTATTCTGTTGATTAAAACTAATGTAGAATGTTATGAAATAAGAATGACCAATTTGACAAAAATATCACGGCCCTCTTTACAATTTATTAACTATTTCTCATTTATTATTAAAATAAACAAATCATAAATAATACATTGCAATTACTGTCAAAAGAGATTGTAACAAACTTTAAAATATTAAAAATCCAGTGATTTTTTGTAATTTTTTTTAGTGACATTACCATTAAACATTATTCAGAATAATAGATAAGTGTCCAATTACAACTCTTACCAAAGTTGTTTATACCTCATATCAAAATTGTTTACATTACCTTTTCAAAATTGTATTACATATTGCAATTATGTATTTTATGTAGAATTGTTTCTGAAGTAGTAGTCTAAAATTATTTATATTCATCTGTTATAAAAATTGTTTAGATCTCTTAATATTATTTAACTACATGAAAACTCAACTTTCCAAATACATATAATGACATGTCTTGAAGTAAAACTTTAATTATTTTCTTTTTTTAAAGATTAAAATGCTGAAATTTTATTTTAAAACACATTTGGGCTAGAACGGCTCTATTTAGTGAGCACTAGGAAAGGCACATTGCAACCCGCTTTTCATAATTTTTTTATAGTTGGGTGAGCAATCTATAATATATGTATCATTGAACATCTCATAAACGCCAGTGGATGAATGACATTTCGATTAACATAAAGCTAAAAAGATTTATAATTATTATTATCAATTTTTTTTATTAATTTACATTTTTTAAATGTTATTGTAATACTTTTAAATTCAGTGTTACTAAATACCGATATTTTAACATTGGATACACTTGTTTAAGGTACAACTTTACAATTTATTGTCACTTAGCCATTTAAATTTTTTTGCTTAAAATGTATATGCATGTCCAGATTTTAATAATGTTTCACATTTTACGTCATTTTGACCATGTACACGATTGTTTGGTACGGGCCGGTATCTATTTTTAACTATATTTAATATTTAAAAAAATACCCTTTATTATTTACTTGCAATGTTTACCCCATTTAATTCTAAAATTAAACACTAGAGAGGGCTAAGTTCGGCAGTAGTGCTGCCTCTATATTTCACGCACGGTCCCTATAGAGAATGAGTTCGACAGTAACAATTTGGATACAGAGCCGCGACAAAGCACCAGCCAACCCGAAGAAGAAATTATTTTTGTTGTAGAAAATAATAAAGAAATATCCACAATAGATGAGCCACCCAAGAAAAGGGCAAAGAAAAGTACTACTAAAATTAGCCAAGCACCCATTACAAGCACTGAGGAGTGCGAAAATAATATTAATTTGGTAAATAATCCAGATCTTGAGGAAGGCACTAAAAGAAACATAACAAGTGGAAATAAACGGAAACTCCCAGCTGCAGTTCTCTTAAATAATAAAAAACTAGAAATATTAAAAAAAAAAAAGATGACTATCTTAGAACTAACAGAACAGTCTGAAAGAGAAACATTAAAGGGAAAAAAACTTGATAATGATATTAAGGAAATAATAAAGGAAAGAGAAAAAATTGAACTAAGGATAAAACAAACACTTCTTTTAGAATGATTTTTACCATTCTTCTCTTATTTTTATGTATGTTAATATTTTTTATTGTGATATAAAAGTTTCCTAAGTTTGTTTTTTAGTATTAAAGTGTTTTGTTTGAAAATGTATTTTTGTATTCGTGCTTAAAAGTGTTTAGGTTTTGTTTGTATAATAAAAAAATATATAACATTTTTTTTATTTGTGCAATAATTAATAGGTATGTACATTTTAATTCTAGATTTGAATGTGTTAAAAGCTGCCATGACATTTCAAACAACTAAACCCTAATATATGAATAAAAAAGTAAAAAAAAAATGCAGTCTTATCAAACAGATTTCTATTTAAAAAAGTGTAGATCTACACAAAAATATTATTTATCAAAGTGTCCCTTGTTGAAGTATTTTCATGTAGTGGAGGATCATAATGAACTACCAAATCGTCAATGTCTAAATCTGCTCCAAGTAAGTCTTCTACAAGGTCGTTTTCTCTTTTGCACAGATTATGTAAAACAGCAGTTGCTGTTACTACTTCACAAGCTCGCTGTATGTTTATTCTAAGCTCTAATGATAAGCATGGAAATCTTTTTTTCCATATTCCGAATAATCTTTCAATCGTATTTCTAGTTGTGATGTGCGCTCTGTTATAACGCTCCTGGGCTCCTGTTTGAGGATTTATGGGTGTTATTAAATATACTCTACATGGATATCCGCCATCTCCAATAAGGATATAAGGATAAAATTCATTATTTTCAAAGCGTGCCCTTATTAAGGAGTCATCAAAAATTGTTGTGTCATGAACAGAGCCTGGCCATCGAGCAATCACATCTAAAATTTCTAAGTTAGCGTTACCAACTACTTGGGTATTGATACTGAACCAGCCTTTCCTATTTCTGAAGACTTCTGCATTGTTACCTCCTGGGGACAAAATTTTGACATGAGTGCAGTCTATGGTCCCTACAACTCCAGGCAATCCAGCTATACTGTAAAAAGATGAAACAATTTCTCTTTTTTCATCATCTGTGTCTGGCATCCTAATAAACTCAGGGCGAAGGCTAGCTATACTTCTTGTAATTGTTTGAACAATGCGTGAGACAGTCGATTGCGAAACTGAAAAAACATCACCAATACTTGATTGAAAATTTGGTTTATTTTTGCTATTGGTTGGTTTCTATTATTCACTGGCTCGTCAATATCTTGTAACAAATTTGCTAAAGTTATTACTGTGTTCTTATTTAAACGAAATCTCTTCTTGAATTCAACGTCATTTAAATCGTCAATTGGATTTTTTCTTACTTGTACTACCCTTATTCTGGGAATTTCATCTTCGCTCTCTGATGATGATGATGAAGATAATAAATTAAAATTTATTCTGTCCCTAATATTTGTAATGTGAATAATGATAACAAAAGCTTGATTGACACAGTTTGTTAACTTACATAACAGGCCGTTTTTGGACTGATAACTTAACAAAGTATTTAACAGATTGTTAATTATTTTTTGACATGGTGCGTAACAAATCTGAATTTTAACAGTCTGTTACATACTTGACAACCTGTTAATGATTAACAGAAGAATGGTGAATACGACCGTTACAACGTTCAACTGATTCACAAATTAAACGAGGATGATCCAGACCGCCGCCTGCAGTTTTGCGAAGAACTAATGTTACGCTGCGATGGGGACCCCAATTTTTTAAATAATATCTTATTTTCTGACGAAGCCACTTTTTGCCTGAATGGGACATTACATCATCATAATTGCAGGTATTGGTCAAGAGAAAATCGTCACTGGAGTCAAGACTCTCACAAAAATGTGCAAAAATACATGACGTCATAAGGTGGCTAATTAAATATTAAAATTGACCTGTCCGAGCGTTTTGCTTGAAAACATTAAATAATGCAATTATGAATTTGTTTCTTACTTTATCACCACACTGTATAGATTTTACATATCGTTTCCAGCATTTAATATTAGTAAAAAAAAAATACAAACCTGAAACCAGTTCTTTTTTCTTATCCGCAACCTTCTTATCACTTTTATCATTGATATCTGTCAATTGAGTAGGCGCATCGTCCTGCCTCGTCCTCATTTTCGTGCGAGTCTCCTCCTTTTTATCCTTATTGGATGTATGAACTTGAACTGTCACCAGTTCCTTTCTGAACGTTTCCCCTTCTGTAGTATCTGAAGACGAGGTCGTATGATAATCGGTGAAATGTCGTTTCACGTCTCTTAAAAGACAGACTCTTAGTTCCATTATCGGTTCAATGTCCGTTACTGATTGTAAAATTGCGCCATCTTCGTTAACCATTGGTTCTTCTGTTAAAGCGGTTGTATCACTGCATCTATCTGCTTTTGATGGTTTTTTTTGAGTTGCACTAACTGTAGGTTGATCTAATGTATCTTCCGGTTTTTTAACATCATCTACCCTTTTTTTGGTTTCTTTTTCTATTTCGGGGTTTTTAGATGTTTTCCTCTCCAAGATTTGTAATTGTTCTGTTGCTGAGGTTTCTACTTCTCCTCTTTCGCAATGTCCAGATGTTTTCCTCTTTGAGGTTTCTAATTTTTTTGTTTTTGGCCCCGCAGATGTTTTAACATCTTTTTCAGTTGCATCTTGAAATCGTTCAGTTTTTAAATGATCTCCTTGATTCGTATTTGTAACAATATCTTTGATATTCTCTTTAGTTACATCCGGAATTCGTTTAGTCTCTAAATGATCTACTAGAGATATATTTGTAGCAATATCTACAATTTTCGCCCCTCCAGAAATATCGTTCTTTTCGCTTTCATCAATTATGAGTTTTCCTTCTTCGAAAGGCGATTCAATAACTCGAGATTTTTCGTCAGATATGTCATTCGAATTATCATTAAATTCAACTTGATTTTCTTCTGTTGTATTGCTATAACCAGAATTACCATCGCTTTTGGAACTCGACGAATCGCTGTAATCTGAAGAGCCTTTTTCGTCGTCATTAATTATAACGACGACGTCATTTTCAACGGTGTCGGGCGTGGCGAAACAATCGGTGATGAATTCCTTTTCCATGTTGGATACGTCAGAACTATTGCTCTCCGGATCCATGGAGTACATTGTATCTCGTCTGGATTCTTCTTCCAATCCGAAAATGTTCATTTCCAATTCATTATACGATCTTTCTTCATCCTCATCCTTGTAATCTTCATTGACGTCGTAAATGTCTTCGTAGACGTTTTTGGAAGGTAGCTCAGCATCGTCTTGGAAAGGAGGGAAATTTTGGTTGTCTTGCGTTTGAACTATTTGAACGTCTTCCACCATTTCTATTTCATTTTCTTCATGTGTTTGTTCCTTGTCTTGCGTTTCATCTGTCTGACGATGTGGTTCTTCTTCTTCATCTTCTTTTGAAACGATATCGAATCTTTCCCTTTCATCAGGAGCTTCTGGTCGAACAGGTTCATCCTCTTCAAAATCTAACTGTTTCTTGGTTAGTTTCTTATCGGTTGCAATCAGTTCAATGTTCTTCCTATCGCTGTCATATTCTTGTTCGACATACTCCAAACTAACTGAAGAATCTGAAAACGTAGTACTTTCTAGGTTCTGTTTCTTCGTGACATAACCACTAACCGAATGGGACTTTGTTGTTATCGAATCTGTTTCGAACGATTCTTTATCGACAATTTGAATGTTAGATTTCACACTGGTTACTTTCGATTTTTCCAATGAGATTTCCGTAGCGGTGATTTTTTCGGTTTTCATAAAGGATAATTCTTTCGAAGTTACGAATTCTTTTTGGAAGGAGTCTAATATTTTCGAGAAATTGTTGTGTTTAAGAACTTGACGACTTAGAGACTTTCTTCCTTTGATTTTCGGTGCAGGTTTCGGTTTGGGTGATGATGATACCCAGTCATCGCTGGTTGAAGATTTTTCAGACACTGGGGATGATTTGTTCATAGTTTCCTGATCTTCGGATTTCTTTGATTGCAATTTTGATAATCTTGGACTTGATCTCACTGGTGATGAATCTCCCAAAGACCCTGTAATAAAATTGTCAGTTAATTATCACAAGCGTTACAGTTGTTTCATTAAAATTTACGTTTAAGTTTATATTCGGCTATCGATAAGTGAGGATGTATGTTTATTAACATTACTCTGTAACTAGGTCAGTTTTGTTCGCGTATGTAGTGTAAATATTTTTAATCGCGATTGTTTAAAAAATCAACAATGATTGCTAAACGTAATGTTTAAAAATGATAATGTGCCATTAAAAATAGTTTTACAATGTGTGGAAAAAAATAAAAAACAGAATCGACACCTGCTGAAGTGCTTTTGGAGCAAAAAAAACAGGACCTGCTTTCAGGTAAATCAAACAAATAATATGGAAACAATGGAAATAGGAGAAAATCTCCTAGCACAACAATGTTAGGCCTTATTTCATGAAAATCAAGCTAGAAGTCAGAAGTCAGTATTGTATACAATGTTTGGATACAGGAAAAACATGAACAACAGCAACTACAAAGTGCACTGCAACAAATTCAAAACAATATGGAAAATATGCAAATTAATATCTTAAACAAAAAAAAATTTAAAAGTCTAACGAATTATGAGACTGATGAACAAGAACTGGAAAAAGAAATCGGCGATCAAATTAACAAAGAAGTAGAATGGATAACAGCAGTGTTCTGGAACCATCCAAAACATTAGTATGTATTGTAAATAAACTCAACCAGATGTACAGTTATGTGTAATACTGGTTGCATAATGGTAGATTGGAAAATGCATAACCACCCCTACAATGGATCAGGTGCAATAGCCAATTAGGTATAATTATTTAAATATTGCGCATAATCAGGTAAGAGGGGAACTTCCTTTTGTTGGTGAGAGCCGGAAGTTAGAATAAAAGGGTCAAATTAATAATTATTGCAATGTAATCGTTCTGGGTGAGTGGACGTCCATGTCCATGCCACTCATCTCTTCTAATTTAGTTCGGTTTCCTCAATTTACTGCCTCATCCAACTTTAAGTGTTAAAATTGTTGTTAATAATTGTGATATACAACCGAAAGGTACTTTATAGTGAAAATAAATACAGTTTAAAGTAAAGGTGAAATTTGATTTGACTAAAACGTCCTCCCCTGACGAGAGTGTTAGAGTTGATTGCCGAAATCAACAAGAAGGACCCAACAAGCAGAAAGCAGAAAAATTAGAAGAAAAAAAAAACGAAAAGCCTAGTCCTCTCCAGAAATCTCTATTGGCCAACCAAGGGGTAGCAAAAATCTGAAACAAGAGAAATAGTCGAGGAAACAGTGAAACTTTCCCCGATAATAGCAAGCAACATCAATAAGTATGACGAATTGCGCTATACACTGGCAGAAAATAATATTTTCTTTCAAGCCACAACTCTAAGCAATAACCAATTTAAAATTATTGCTAAACAAGAAGAATACTTCAAAAACGTCATATCAACCTTGAATGCCAAAGACATACATTGGCATCCCTATGAAATCAAACAGAACAAAGACATTAAAGTAATGGTTAGAGGTCTACCATCTACATCTAAACCAGAAGATATTGTTGAAGACTTGCAAAGTCAAGATTAAAATGTAAAGAAGCTGTCAATATAATAAAGAAGGAAATATAATTAACCGAAAATAACACTAGTAAACTAAATAAAAAATCATTGCCGTTAATCATGCTGTCCAAAAATATTAAAGATCTACGAAATCAAAGCAATACTTAATCTAAGAGTTAAAATGGAAACCATAAGAAAGTCAAAACTAGTTCCGCAATGCAAAAACTGCCAGCTATTTGGAGATACACACAACTTTTGCAAGAAAGAATCAAGATGCGTAAAGTGCGTAGGAAAACATCACACGAAGCATTGTGTAGAAAGTTCAGGGCAACAACCAAAATGTGTAAACTGCCTAATGGAACATCCTGCTAACTATATAGGATGTGAAGTAGCCAAAACCTTTCAGATAAGGAAGGATAATACCACTGAACCCAAAGCCAATACAATCTATATATCTTCTGGTGTACCACAGGGAACTCATTGCTCACCTTTATTGTTTAATATATTTGTTAACGATATTGCAAGATGTTTCCAAAACTGTGACTTTTTAATGTTTGCCGATGATTTAAAGCTTTTCAGGCATATAACATCGTTAGAGGATATTAGTTTAATCCAGGACGATTTAAACAATTTAAGTACTTGGTGTAATGATAACAATTTGCATTTAAATGCTAATAAATGTTGTCATATAAGTTTTTATAAAGGTAATAAAAAATTTCAAACGTTCTACTCAATTAATGGAGATCAGTTGACATATGTAACCTTTCTGAAGGATTTAGGAGTCATATTCGATGAACAATTACGTTTTGTACGACATATAAATAATGTTACAGTGAACGCTTCAAAGTCCCTGGGATTTATTTTACGCACACTGTCATGGATTTTCTGTTTGGACCGTACGAACGGTATATTTTGCTCTAGTGGTATCACAGTTGGAATATGCCTCTATTGTATGGTCTCCACATCATCAGAACCATTGTACGAGCCTGGAAAGAGTTCAGAACAAATTTCTGAGGTACTGTGCATACAGATCATATATACAAATTAGTAATCATAACTACACAGATATTATGAAATCACTGAATATTGACCTACTAAGCAAAAGGCGGGAAGATTATGATTTGATATTTGTTTTTAAGATTCTCAATAGTAAGTTGTCCTGAGCTTCTCGATAGTATACGCTTATATGTGCCAACTAGAAATCTCCGATACTCTGAGCTGATTCACGTTCCATTTCATTGCACAAATTATGGTATGCATTCTCCAGTTGAATGTTCTCTGAGAATGCTTAACAATAGGGATATAGACATATTTGGTATATCACTTTGTACATTCAAAAAACGTGTAAAGAGAGCTTAATTTGATTGATACTCTCGCAAATTTAGTTTTTAAACTTGTATACATATTTCATGGTATATTTATATTTTTATTTTTTATTTTTTTTTATTTACATTTTCTTTTTGTAATAGACACTTTTATATATTGTATGACGAGACAGAGGAGACCCATAAATGCTTTTCATACTGTCAGAAACGAAATAACATATTCTCGGGTAACAAACTCACAGGAGCAACCAATTCAAAGATCACAACCAGCTATGATGACCACAGCCTAGCAGAATGAATTATTATTATCCTTAATAACTAGAATAGATTCACTCTGATAGGTTCCAAAAGCTAGAAGTATTAAATAAACCCCAAATAAACCTCCCAAGTAACATTTTAATCTGCATAGTTTGCTGCAAACCAATAATAAAAGGTCATATAAAACACAGTTTTGGACGCATTTATGCAGGTGACGTGATCTGCAAAACATTTTTATATGGCCTATATTTTACATACCACAGTTTGTTTATTACTTCTATGAAGGTTTAATGCAGACCTGCATTACTTCTGCATAATACCTTTAGTTGGTAGGTAATACCCTGCAATGCATATAATTTATCAGTCATACATAGTTTACTTTGGATGTATTATGCAGATCATGTGTAAGTAAAATTAAGATCTCTTAATTTGTTGTTATGCAGATAATGTGCAGGAACAAATATGTATTAATAAAAATAATGTGCACATTTTTTTCAATTGATTGAATTTATATATAATTCTATATCATTTTTATAATTAATTTAATTATTAATTTCATTTATAACTAGTAGCGCGATACAATTTTAACCTATTTTTTTTTTTGTTTTAACTTACCTTTAATAGGATTCGAACCTGCAACCAAGGTGTTTGAAATCTCTGGAACAGACGCCTTAACCAACTGAGCTACGACAACTTCTGTTAAATACTTTCGCTATTGTAAATTTAAGGTATAAATGTCAAATTAATATTAAATCTGGTTTTAATTAGGTAAGTAAATAAAATAATTTTTAAATTTAATGATAAAAGTACTTAATATTTCTTTACATGCAAAGAAATAAATAATTTTGTCTTCCTATTTACTTTTCGAACTGAATAACAATTTCTTGTAAGGCCTCTGCATATCAACATGTCAAACACTTGCAAAAGTACTGCAAATGATCTGCAATTGCAAATTTAATGTCTTGTAACCTAACCTTCAAAATCATCACGTGCGCGTGAAAGAAACTCGTGCAGATTGTTTATTTTGACTACAAAAAAATTTAATATGGAACTAACTGGAAAATACTGCATTATTCAGGAAAACAAAGGGAAAAATCAATCAATATTAAGTGTTGTACCCACTAAATGGATAAAGTTAAAAGAGTGGAGTGATGGAAGTGACTTACTTTATTGGCCGCATAAAACAAACATTCATTTAACAAAATTGATGAAAGCAAGTCCAGATATAAAACCAAATGAAGATTTTATTCTTCTTAAATGTAGGTTGAAAAAAGCAGGGTTCAAAACATTTTATGAAGTAAGTAGTTGTTATTGTTGTAAAATTAACCTAGCATGTACAACTTCAAAATACACAGCACATAGCACATAGATCAGTAATGTTAATAATAGTATCTAATAATAATAATAATAATAATAATAATAAAGTGATTTATTGCGCCGTGACAAAAGGCTATTGAACGAGGCTCTTCGCCCTTCATTAAGGTTATTTTTCAAGAATTTTTTTCTACGGGGACGAGATACATTCTTCCACAAGAATATTTTAAAGTACTTTTCCTACGACCACTTAGGAAAGTGAAACATATCACACTATATAATATAGTCCTATCGAAAGTGCCCTATATCACACGCGTATGAATAAAAATTTACTTTCTACCCATGTGCGAATATATGCTACTTTCCGCACAGCTGCCTCAAAATGTCAAACACATCATTTTTATTTTAATCTATGTAATGTCCATATTAATAGTAAAACCGATATGATTGTTAAATTATTAAAATTAGATCCTAGATATTTATCTTTAACAATTATTATATTATTAAAATAATTTTAAAATAACTAGGTACATTATGTTTGCTTTTTATTCTGGTTAAACACATAACCGA